CACCTGTTGATGGATATTTAGGCTGTTTCCATGTTTTGGCTATTGTAAATAGTGCTGCCATGAACATTGGGGTGCAGGTGTCATCCTGAAGTAGGGTTCCTTCTGGATACAAGCCCAGGAGGGGGATTCCTGGGTCATAAGGTAAGTCTATTCCTAGTCTTTTTAGGAATCTCCACACTGTTTTCCATAGTGGCTGCACCAAACTGGTTTTGTGCTTATTTCTTTCCACCTGAGAAGACAGGTGTGCAAAGCACAGCACCCATCCAAACTGTTACTGGGAAATAAAGCTCCATAAATCCTACCATCTTCCTTGACATCCTGGGATGAAAGCATATCATAGGAAGAGGGAACAGTATTCTCATAGAAAGATCTCTGTACATGGATGCCAGATAGATACCATGGTTTTTCTTCTGTTGTCTCAAATATTATTCTTTCTTGACCCCACCAAGACCCATCAGTATGCTCCAATATGTTCTTGGTTGTCTCATATCATCTTGTTTTATATGGTTTCCCTCCCGCAGAAGCAGATTCCACCTCTCTCACTCACCTTTCCATGGTAGCTACATTCTCTAGTTCATTGAGATTGAGTTTGCTCGAGGGCTTTTTGGTTGCTGGTTCTTGAATGCATGACAGCAATGTGGCCCCTTGCTTTCCAAGTAATTTCAGCTTATCCTAGAGAAAGGAAAATATAGTCTCTCTCAGAAGGAATTAACAAAAACAAATTCTTGGCAGATTTGAAGTGAGGAGAACGGTAGATCAGTATATTTTTCATTTAGGAAATTAAATGATAAAGAAGTCAAGCTGCATCTTTTAAATTGGTTAACTTATTCCTACTAAGTAGCATACACGTGATACAAAATTCAAAATATATAAAAGGGCATATATTGGAAAAAGTAAGTCTTGTGTCCACAGCCCATCTACTTTCCCTTTCCAAAAGCAACAACTGTTAAGTTTTTGTGTATATCTCAAGCTCTTATTGGAAATTAAAAGCAATTAGTTAATAAAATTGGTTCTAGTCCAAGATAGTAACCAGAAGCAAGAAAATGACAGATATCTAGTGTTAAGTGCTGGAAACAACCATGCAGTAATAATGTAATAACCACTTATTGACCACAAAAAAAACTTCATCTGGTCTCATCAATAAATATCTGCCAGTTCTCCCACCTGGCCCCAAAGTACAGCCTTGTTCAATTATCAAAGTTTGGCAGAGATGGGCAGAAATTTCAGTTTGATGTGGAAAGATTCATATTTCCAAGGCAATTGTATTCTTCTCTTTTGACATGGGGACCTAGGGTGCTGCAACTGGGGAAGATGTCAGGCTATGTCCTTCCAAATCCAGTGGCTCTAGGCCTCCACTCACGCAGTGAAGGTGGTTTCTCAATACCCTCAGCATTGGCCATAAGGTAAGCCAAAAGGGGTGGAGGCTGGCCTAGAATTTTGTTGCTAGGAATTCTGGGTTTGGTTCCTGGTTCACACAGGATTCTGGTTTGGTGTGCCCTGAAGGTAAGAATAGCTCCATAGTCACAGAACAATCACCCTGATGCACAGGATCACTGAATCTCTTCCACCAGGCTCAGCCACCTCCAGCCTTCACACGGTTGGTTCGGAGCACATTCCCTGTGGGAGGAGTTTTATATTCTCCACTCTGGTCACACAGAAGGTCAACCTCATGCCTTTGCTCCTTGTCTCCTCATCCCACTCCTGTATTTACCCCTTTGAAGGCTTCTGTTAATCCATACCCAGTTTAAACTCATCCCAGGATCTGGCTATTGATAGATTTGACTTCCTTGATCTAGTCTCTCAGAATTGTTGGGACACTCCCTGTGGCTCTGTCCTCTTCAGGTAATGTCCCAAGTCGGCCACTTGGCTGGTATTCTTGCCTGGGAACTGGACATATCGTTTTTTTTCCACTCTCAAGTATCGGCACTCATTTCTTATCTCATCAGTGCTCATTAAATATTTGTAGGTTGGATAAATTAAAAACAGTCTAAAAGAAATCAGGTTGCAGATGGATAAAGACAAGATATGATGGGGGACAAAAAAGCACTCATTAGTAATTGCTCTTAGCTTTTCCCTGCTCCTCCTACACATGAAGAAAGGTCTTGGCTTTCCTACCCAGTTCCTTAAGTGCCTTTGAGCTTCCAGCATTCCAGCAGCATTGTGGCATTAGCCGTTATCTTATTTATACACACACACACACACACACACACACACACACACACATACAAAGTGTGTGATAGAGAATTGGGAGGAAAGGTGGAGGGATCAAAGAGGAAGGGGCATGTTGCTAGGGGAAGAAGGAGACATCAGAGGGGGAAAGTTGGAAGAGAAATACAGCCAAAAAGCTGCAGAGTGTGAGGAAAGTGTGTGAGAGAGAAGATGAATCGTAGCAGGTGATATTATACACTGTGTGTTTCCTTTACATGGTTAAAAAATACAAGGAAAAATCGTGACCTGGTTTCTGCTTTGGGACCAAGCCACATAGTCAGCTTCTGTAGGGTTACCAAAATCTGCCATAAACGTGGAGGGAAAGTAGAGGAACTATAGTACTTGGAAAGCATAAAGGTACGTTGCCAAACCCAAAAATGGAGTTTGTCCTTGTTCACAGTGGTGACAATTCAAAATATTTAATATCTGTATGGAGCAAGCACTGATCAATCAACACAGAAGTCAGACACAATGCTGAAACAGTCCTGAAGCCAACTGTGGTCCAGGTGTTAACCCTCTAATTGCCAGATTCACGAGGAGGTCTCGTGGGTCCTAGGAAATGGGCCAGGGAAGTGGAGTGAGGTACTCAAGGGATGTGAATCTTTAATCCTTTTAACAACTGGTATGGCTGTCCCAGTGTGTACTCATCATTATGAAAACAAGCAGTTGGTCAGAAGAAGACCCACTAGGCAAGGCATGGGGGACCACTTCAGGGTCAAAAGAATTTAAATTTTCTTGGGGGTATTTTTCCCTATGATAGGGGCAAGCACGAACATAGATATTCCTTCATCTAGAATGAATTTACTATAAAGAACTATTACTATATGCCAGGCCTTCATGCTAAGCTGTGTCATGGGCTGGGAGTGGAAGCAAGGTGGGAAGTAAAAGGACCAATCAGAGCCTAGACAATGTATGATGATTAATGCTTCACACTCATTATTCCACTTTTATTATTTACCCAATTTCTGCCACTAAAAATCTCTACTCCCCTTTGTTGTTTACACGCTGACAAATGAATTCCAGAATCTGGCCTTTAAAACGCAAATCTTCATAATTTAGAGAAAGAAGTCCTTGAAAGAGATGAGGCATCCCCCTTCCTCAGCTGCTGCTGAGAGAGATCTTCCTGTGACATAAAACTAGATCAAAATACTGATTGTTAAGGTATTAACTTCAAAATACCCTCTGGTATTTCGTACCTATTGAAATACCTATTTGTATTTGTAATACCAATTTTGTCTTCCTATGCAAAATCAAGACCTCTGTGCCCACCCACCTCTTTTTTGGGGGGGGGTGGCAATGGTAATTAGGTTTACCTACTTATTTATTTTTAGAAGGGGTACTGAGGATTGGACCCAGGACCTTGTATATGCTAAGCATGCACCCTACCACTTGGGCTATACCCTCCCCACTGTGCCTACCCACTTCTAACTTACGTTCTCTACAAGTAGATTTGAACAAAGGGGTCCTTAAAAACTCTTAGGACTGTAAAATTATTGCTAGGGCCTATGAACATAACTTATAATTCTGATTGATTATCTTCTTGATTATTTGTTACCCTGGAATACTGATGGAATTGTCACCTCTGAAGACAAAACTGAATGAATACTGAATGGAACAAATATTGAGTACTAAACAGTATTTGTGTTTGTAAAGATTGCTCTGTCACATAACTGAAGGGCCGCTGGCACTTTCCTCTCCTCCTGAACAATGAGAAAAAGGCCTACTGCTCTTTCAGATTTCTTATTTTAACAACAATAACAACAAATGGGAGTCTTATCTTATTTAAATGAATACATGGTACAGTGTACTTAGTTGACTAAGGCATCTGAGAGCTAAAGGCCAAGGTCCCATTTTCTGGTCTAAATAAGACTAACAGGTGAGAATCACCCTCTTTGAGATCCAAGAGGGAAATTACCTGCTTCTGTGACCTGCCTCCAAAGCGAGCATGGAAAAGGACAGTAGGAAGAGCTGTTTTGCAGAGAATGTTTGCAAGGCCATCAAAAACAGTGCAAGAAAGGACATATCTGTGTAGGGTTTGTGGTTATTTTATCACTGTCTTAGAGCCCCCAAATCTTTCTTTTTAAAAAAATTGACATATAATTCATATACCATAAAATTCAACCTTTTAAAGTGTATAATTCCAGGTTTTTTTCCAGAACATTTTTCATCACCCCCCAAAAAGAAACTCCATTCCTATTAGCAATCACTCTCCATTTCTCTCTCTTCCTAGCTCCTGGCAACCATTAATCCACCTGCTTTCTCTATGGATTTGCCCATGTTTGGATATTTCATATAAATGGAATCATACAGTATGCAGCTTTATTGTGTCTGCTTTCTTTCACTTTGCATGTTTTCAAGGTTCATACATGCTTAGCATGCATCAGCACTTTATTCCTTTCAATAGCTGAATAATATTCCATTGTATGGATATATATACCACAGTTTGTCCATTCATTCATCGTTGACAGACATGTTGGTCATTTCCACTTCTTAAGTATTATGAACAATGTTGCTATGAACATGTTTAACTTTTTTAAGCTTTTGTGTGAAACATGTTTCAATTCTCGTATGTATCTATCTAGGAGTAGAATTGCTGAGTCATATGGTAACTTAATGTTTAAATTTTGAGGACCTGCCAAAGTTTATATTCCCACCAGCAATGTATGAGGGTTCCAATTTGTTCACATCCTCACCAACAACTTGTTATTATCTACCTTTTTTACTACAGTCATCCCTTGGCATCTGAGGGAGATTGGTTCTAGGACACCTGTAGATACCAAAATCCATAGGTACTCAAGACTCTTATATAAAATGGTGTAATATTTGCATGTAACTTATGCACATCTTTCTGTATTCTTTAAATCATCTTTAGATTACATACAATGCCTAAAACAATGCAAATACTATAAAAATAGTTGTAAATACTATGCAAATGTTATGTAAATAGTTGCCAGCATGTGGCAATTCAAGTTTTGCTTTTTGGAACTTTCTAGATTTTTTTTTTCTCAATATTTTTGATCCAAGGTTGGTTGAATCTTTGAATGAGGAACTGACAGATACAGAGCCAGTTGTTTAAAGCCAGTTGTACTTTGTCAGCTCTTTGAAGGCAGACGCTGCAGGGTCATATTTTTGTATTCATAAAACCTAGGTATTATAAAAATTGAGGAATGGATAAATTTTCTACAGAAATTCTCCTCATGGCTCTACTTGGATCCATATTTCAAACAGACCTGGTTTATTCTGCTTCTTGATCTTTACTTACGACCTCTTTGTCTCTCACTTTTCAGAATATTCATATCCTGTCCATTCCTCAAAATCTAGCTAAAAGTCACCCTATTAATGAGGTCTTCAGTGACTTTTTATTATTTACAGTTTGTCTCTCTAGTTAACCTAGGGTCTGTGTGACTGCCTTCTGCTATTCTGTGCCCCAAAGTACCTGGCACTATGCTGTCCCCATTTTGAGTAGGTTGCTGGGTGGGATGATAAATGTAAAAGTGTGATTTATGCTGAGTTAGTTATAGGTAACTGCTCTATTTACTGTCCCACTTAGTAAAATACTTCGAGGGAGCAATTTCCCTTTTCTTGTATGTGGCATATGTTGGTAACATTTTCCCCCATCTCTACAGGTTATGAGAATCTGCAAACATCCATAAAAGTTGAAAGAATAATACAATGAACACTCATCCCTTTCTATTTAGATTTATCTGTTACTAATATTTAACCATTTTGCTTTAGCTTTCTCTATAACGATCCCCTCAACAAACAACTGAAATTAAGTTTTAGATATTATGCTATTTGTCCCCTAAATGTCTCAGGATGCATCTCTTTAAAATAATGCCATTTTCCTATACTTTCTACTTTTTTTTTATTGAAGTATAGTTGATTTACAATTTTGTGTTAGTTTCCAGTGTACTGTATAGCGATTCATATATATATATATTCTTTTTCATTATGTTACTACAAGATACTGAATATAGTTCCCTGTGCTATACATTAGGACCTTGCTGTTTACCTATTTTATGTACAGTAGTTTGTATCTGCTAATCCCAAACTCCTAATTTATCCCTTCTCCCTACCCTTCCCCTATGGTAACCATAGTTTTCTATGTCTGTGAGTCTATTTCTGTTTTGTAAATAAGTTCATTTGTATCATGTTTTTAGATTCCACATATAAGTGATATCATATGTTTGTCTCTCTCTGTTTGACTTACTTCACTTAGTGTCATAATCTCTAGGTCCATCCGTGTTGCTGCAAATTGTATTATTTCATTCTTTTTTAGGGCTGTATTATGGGACACAGAGTAACAGGAGGCAGTCACACAGACCCTAGGTTAACTGGAGAGACAAATTTTAAATAATACAAAGTCACTGAAGACCTCATTAACAGGATGAATTTTAAGTATTTTCAATCCACAGTTGGTTGAATACTTGGATGAAGAGTCATGGATACAGAGGTCAGACTGTATAGGAATCCTAGTGGGTATATCACTGCCATTTTGATTTGCATTTCCCTAATGACTAATGATGTTGCAAGTGTACTGTACTTCAATAAAAAATAAATAAAATAAAATAAGGGCTCTCAAAGATCCATCGGAGAAAGGAAATCAAGAAATTAAACCAAATCTCTCAATGTCATGCTGTTTAGACAAAAACTTTCCAGGCTGGGAGAAAGCTTTAAATCATACACTGTAACGTCTATAGATATTTAAATAGATTTAAAAGTTCACTGTTCTGAGGATGAATCTCATACTGTTTTTTCACTTGGAAAAGATACTCTCCAAATGGGGAAAAAAAAAAAAACCTATTCAATTAGTTATAGAAACTTTGGTTAAAAAATAGGTAAAGCACTAATAAAAGTAAAATAAAGTAATGTACAGATAATCACAAAACTACTAAGTTATTGATAAAAGTTTAAACAGTAGTCGTTTTTTTGTAATATAAACCCTTTCTCTCTTGAAAGCATTTTTGGATGGGAAAAAGGAAAAATCTAAACCTAGCTCAATGATTTTGGAATTTTTGCTTCTAATTTACAAGCTAAAAAACAAAGAAATCAAATTTGGCCAATAATTACTAATCACAAAAAAAGGAATCCTCTGTATTGTGTCTAAGTGAATATTAATATTACTTAGTAAAGTAAAGATAGAATAACTTATATTTTTAACCCTAATTCACTTAATATTCTTTTTTCCTTCCAGTTGTTTTACTGAGATATAATTTATATACAGCACTGTGTAAGTTTAAGGTGTACAGCATAATGATTTGACTTGCATAATCATGTTTTAATTCCAAGAACAGCTGGTCACTATGCACAAGAAAATGTCCTTACACCATCTTGGAGACTGAGTCTTTCCCTCCCTTTACCCCTGTGGAGTTCCTTGCCTGTGTAGAGATGACAGACACCCACTCATCTGCCTTTCCTGGGAACGCTCACTGCACGTTTACAGCAGGACCTGACTAGCTAGTTTCACTCCTCAGATACGTGACCTGTGGGCTTGGACCACCAACCCTTTTCCAGCAGATTTCACAGAGGCTACCCTCAACCCAGACTTTCACACCCTGCATCGTCTCTTCCAAGAACTATGGAATGTGAACTTGGCAGAAATATTTGGCAAAGAAAAAGGTCAACCTTTACAGAGGCATTTTCAGGAAAAATTCCAGGATGCTTTCAGGCTTCTATAGTTTCAAACCAGATCTTTCGATTACTCTTGAGAATAAATTTTGAACTCTTTTTAATTATCAAGAACCTTAAAGACAGAATTAAACAGTGATCCCTGACACATGGAATAATTAGTTTGCCTCAACCCCCCTACCTAAGCTATGTATTTTTTTGAGTTTTCATTTTCTTTGTTTGTTTTCTTGGCATGTAGTGGTGGACAGTCAATATATTTTGAATAAAAAAAAAATCAAGCACTTAGCAAAGCAAATGTTTGCTAATTTTGCGTCACAGATAAAAGAGTTCAGTTTTTCTTAAGCCAACCCAGCAAGAACACACATAATGCTAAGATGTATCAACCATTCAATCCTTGGTTTGCTGCCCTGTTGAGTTCTGGTGAGATAATGGATTTGGCCTTACTGTGCTTGTGAAGGCAGAAAGAGGATGCCACCCATCCAGTAAGTCCTGAGAAGACTTCCCTTTACAGCATGACCTGAAAGAGTCTGTCAAGCTCCCTTCCCAGCAGGTTCTGACCTGCTTTTATGAATCACTTAATAGGTGCCTCTCCTTAAACTCACTTCAGAACACCTTTTATAGTCCTCTTTCTCAAACTGGCCCCCGGTAAAAAGACATATCCCTGATAGAGCGAAGCAGTAAGCCAGCTAATTAGTCTGCCCCCAAACTTCACAACAGCCTCAAGAAAGCTTATGCTTCAAAAGCCAACTCCCATCCCTCCCTTTCTCCCTGCAATTTCAGCCCATTATATCTTGCTCTGTCTTGAGCAGATCACAGGAGTGCTGCCATTGAAGGGATGTGCACACACCTTGTCTCACCAGCACAAAGCTGGAATGAGTATCTTTTCGAGGTGCTGCTTCTCACACTTCTCACCTGCAATCCTTTCACATGCACCACCCAGTCTTTAAGAGATTTTTCTCTTCACGCACTGCCTATCCAGAGGATTGAAGATGACTAGAGGCTGCCAAGTCACTGGAGAAGGGGGAAGAAGAGGACTTAACTTATAATTCGGCTCCCAGCACTCTCCAGGAAGCTGACCATCTGCAGCACAGAGGTAGGCCTCTGGGAGATCATGGACCACTCACCTGTAACTGACCCCGCTGCCTTGTATGGGACATGAGAAGGTCTTCACTGGATGGCACGCCTCTGGGCAGCTCTGTTGTGGCCAGGCAGGCCCCAAAAGTCTGGAGCATCTGGGCAGTAGTCTTTAATGCCAAGGCAAAGTTTTCAATGGCCTGGAAAGTCAGACAATCATAACAATGTGGACGGATTAACATTCACTAACAAAAGGAGAGGGGAACTAGCTGCCATTTCCTGAGTATTCGCAGTGGGCCATGCATTGCACTTACTGCTACAGATCTGTCTATCATCTCAGACAAATAATCCAGAGTGGAAGGCTTTTCATCTCCATTTTATAGAAGAGGGAACTGAAGCTGTCTAACAGGTCCAACAAATTGCCCAAGATCATCTTACATGGGCAGTAAGGAAGGAAAGAAAGAAGGCAAGATTCAACCAATACTTTCTCTCTTTCTGCAGGAGTTTTTTTGAGGATCAGAAGAAATGGCAAGTGTGAAAGGATCTCGGGCACAGCTGAGTACCTTACAAGTGTAACAATATTAACAGTAAGAACTAAGAGAAGCAGGTGTAAGGCTTGCAAATGACATTCTAGAAATAGAGGAAAGCCAGAGGTTTCCTGTCATGGGTTCTATTAACAAATTAACTTGATTCCATGTGTCTGATTAGTGAATAATCACTAATTGATGATTATTAATGATCACTAATTGAAAATGGCACAGAGGACCTGACCCTGATAGGGTGATTAAAAAGCGCTTGGCCTTAGTCTTGTTTCTGCCACTACCTGATTATACGACCTTGGATGAAACACCTCTTTACTCTGAAGGTCAGTTTCCTGATCTGTAAAATAAGGGTGATTGCAATAAATTAATTTTGAAGTTCTTTTTAGTTCTGACTTTTTATGAGTCTCAAAGATCTGACATCCAGAAAGCACACTATTACCAAAAAAGATTTATATGTTCATAATATATAAAATAATATGTATATGCATATATATAATTATATTTCTAATTACGTATGTGTATATAAAATGTATACAGAAAACTTGCAAAAGGCATGTGAAGAATTATCTCTGTTTCAGGATTAGTTGTGTTTTTAAAAGTTTGCTACAATACGTTTTACACTTGAACAAACACAAACTATAAGTACAAACTAAGCCTGGTGGGAGGGGAGCTGTATGTACATGCTGTTCATGCCTGTCTTTAAATAATCAGTCTTCATGACCTTAGTCTTATTTACCTCTCTAACTTCTTAGAGAACAATTTTGGTTTTGATGACAAGGTGCTTCAGGTTTTTTTTTCTTTATTTGTTGCAAATTTGTGTTGTTTCAAAACAGATTAGAGGCAACTTGAAAAACATGAACAACACAATAAAATAAAGGATTGTTAGAGAAATTAGAGCAAAAAGGAGAGCTGGCTAGCCCAATAAAGTTGGTGGGACAGTAAGTTCTTTTGGTTACTAAAGTAATGAAATAAAACTCTAGGAAGTGAAGAAAGCAAGCCTAGAAGCACTCCAAGTTCCATGTTTCATATGATTTAATGAAACTTCATCCTGGGACGACCATCATCACACTTATAATATTCAGCTTCTCTCCTTATCTTTCATATTTAGACTTACTTAGAATTAAATGCTTGTGAAAAACTTCACCACTCCTTTTTTTTTGTTTTTTAATCGTATTCTCTTGGAGTCACCATTATTATGGTAAAATTAAAGAGAACTTTAAAGGGTTCTTGCTCAGGTCATGGACTTTCCTCTAGGTTTTGGGGAAAAAACGTGCCTCCCTTGGAATTGCACAGCATACACAGAAGTGAGGGGGATTAGAATCTGTAGCTTTGAAATGAATGCGTTATGTTGCTAGATATCTATTTTTGTTTAGTTCTTAAATTTCCTTGTTTTTTTTTAAACAAAACATTACATTCTAAAACAGGATGAATTCTACCTAATCAAATGTAATTGAGGTATTCATCAGTAAATGTTGAACATGTTTCCAAAGTGAGCACATACAGACAGATGTGCTGACACCACAAGCTATCCTCAGGGTGGGAAGGGGGCTTCTCATTTTGCTTAGAAAACCTAACCTTTTTTAAAGTGTGGGGCTAGGAGGGCAGGGAAAGGGGAATGACAACTTTATATAGAAACACTTATTATTTGCTGAGTTTCAGTCTTACTTTTTCATCAATATTACTGACCGTTCTAGTTTAGCATGATAACCAACACTAAGAGTCAGTAGGAAAGAATAAAATACTATATGCCAGGTTGTTTCATAGACATGATATCACTTATTCCCCACAGCAAACCTTAAGGCAGCATCTGTTAGTGCAAGGTTTCTCACCATTGGCACTACTATTACATTGTTCCAGATAATTCTTTACTGTGGGGGCGCTGTCTTGTGCATCATAAGATGTTTAGTAGCATCGTTGGCTCCTACCCAGTATATGCCAGTAAAACCTCTCTCCCCGAATTATGACTATAAAAAGTGTCTGTCTAAAGACATTGATAAATTTTAGTGAAAGTCATTAGTTAAAGGCTACAGTGGGGCTGTGCTTTAGAGATAGGAGTGACTAGAGGGTGTGACAGAGTCCCTGGGACTGGAAACCAGGACCATGCCCCAGCTGAGAACCACTGTGTTTGTCCCCTGTTAAGAGGAGAGCAAACAAACTCGGAGAGGCTTAGAAACTCATCCAAGGTCAGACAATAAGCAATGGTGGCAACATTTAAAGGCAGGTTCTTCTGACTTGGTGGGTTTCAATCTGCCTGTACGTTAGAATCATCAGGGGAGTTTTGCGAACCTGATGCCTGAGACCTATCCCAGAGCAAGTAAATTAAATTCTCTAAGGTACAGCAGGGTATTGGTATTTTGCAACCATGCAAGGTGCAGTCTAAATCAAGGCCTCCAAAACCCTCATACCAGCAAATGAGGTGGGGTGAAGGTAACCAGCAGGAAAAGCCCCTACCCGGCCTAGACTCTTCCACCCTGTTTCTCCCCCAGCCTGTGGCTTAGAAACCCCACCCTTCCTGATGTTAGGGAGTCATGAGCAGTGACTGCCCAACAGTTGATCTTTAAGCCCTCTATCTCTGGAAACCCAGGAGAGACAGTGAAAAGGGCACATTAACTGGTACTTACAGTTCGATGATTTATCCACTGACTGTGGCGATATTCCAAAGTTCCCCCTAAGTCCTCTGTCAGTTGGCTTTTGTCAATGTAGCCATGAAGGTCAGAAATGGAGTTTAACATAATGATCTATAACAGAAAAAAATTAATATATTCCTCACAGATAATTAACAAGTGGCTCATCCAGATTCTACTGTTATTTAAATAGTACTTCATTGCTGCCTGATCAGGCATTTATATCCAAAGACGGTTACCACATCCAGCAGAGATATATTTTAAAGTCCCTTTCCATTTCCCCCTTTGAATGAGAAATAGCAAAGTGTCGAACAGTCTGTGACAAAATGGTGACTTGGATCAGGGAGCTCAGTTACAAGCTACCTAGAAGTCCGGTCTTGCTTTAGGTAAATTTTTGTCAAAAGTTCCTAGGCTAAAGTCTACCCTTCAGCCACTGAAATCAAGTGCTGTACCTAACAATCTGCAATGAAAAACCCAGTGAAGGGTGGGCTGGTGAATATCAGAGCAAAATTAGAACAGAGGGACCCACTGAAGAGTGTGGATTGAAAAGATTCACCATACTTATTCCCCTTCCATGAATAATGGTAATATGCCACGCCATTCATCTTGCATGGAGATTTGGGAGATGATCGGGAGTAGATATTCATAAATTAACAAGCCTGCTGACGAACACACCCATGTGGATGAAAGAGTGTGCAGATATCTAGAGGATGACACTCTGCAAACTGTCCCTTTCTTCTCCTCTGCAGTGGTCCTGCCCAGGATGTGGTCTGGTTTCCAGTCCCAGGTACTCTACCACACCCTCTAGTCACTCCTATCGCTAAAACACACCCCCACTGTAGCCTTTAACTAATGACTTTTGTTGATTATTTTGACCCGTGAGTATACTAAACTTCTTTCAAAGCCTCTCCCTCATTTCCTCCTGTGGCAGCACTGACTTTACCATGTCATATCCAACATGTACGTTATTAGAATAGATTCTTGGTCAAAGAGCATGAGAATATAGGCTTTCTTCTCTAATTATATAGTATTAGTCAATTGATAATTCCACTTCAGGATGAAAAGACTATAAGTTAGGGCTCCAAGTCTATAGGTGAAAACAAAATTGACTTACCCATTCAACAATCTGAAATGAACTTCATAAAAAGCCTTCAAAAAGGCTCTGAGGGATAAAAGTAAGCACGGCAGGCCCTGCCTTCAAGGAACTTAGGTTTAGTGGTTTGATTCTACACATCACTGTGCTAACCTCATCAGGCTGCATGTCCCATGCCTTTCTCTTTCACTTCTGGAAAAAAGTTTGGGAACTTTAAAAATTATTTTTGTAATAAGAGAGCAAGGGGAAAAAAAAACAACCTGAATTCATCTCTGTCTTTCCCTCTCCAATTTTTTAAACCAATTTTGAAAATTTTAAAAAGATTTTTAGTCTTTCTAAAATTAGAAATTATAAGACACATAACAAGAAATGACCAAGTTAAAAATGTATTTTAATTCTTAGAACATTAGTTGCTATGGTAACACTTGAAATTTTGAAAAATATCTATGTGCAACATGGTATTAGGCAGAAGTGACTTTGTCCACAGGCTAGAGTTTCAGAACCCTATCCTGCCAGGCAGCACATCTTCTGCCCCACTTTACTGAACAGGAGAGGGAGGTATGTGCTTCCACACTTGCCAGAACTCTACTCTGCTTTCTCATCTTTAGCTTCAGAAGACCAAGAGGAATTTTAAATTGAAAGCTAAAAGTGAACATTAGAAACAAAAGGAAGATATTAGAAGATTCAATACTGTTAAGTGTTGAACTGTAGATTCGACGCAACCCCAATCAAATTTTTGTAGGAATTGACAAGCTGATTCTAAATTCATGTGGAAATGCAAAATACACAGAATAGGTAAAACAATTTTGAAAAAGAATTAAGTTGGACAAATCACACTACCTGATTTCAAGGTTTATTGAAAATTAGCTGCCAAGAGTGTGGTAATAGCAAAGGATAGACAAACAGATCAACAGAACAGAATACAGAGTCCTGAAATAGACTCACACAATTATGATTTTTTTAACTTTTTATTTTGAAGTAAATACAGATTCCCAGGAAGTAGTAAAGATAGCACAGGGAGGTCCCATGTGCCTTTCACCCAGTCACCCGCCCCCCCAATAATTGCACCTTACATAATTATAGCATAATAATATCAAAACAAGGATTTGATACTGATGTAATGTGTGTATAGTAGATTCATGTAACCACCAGTACAATCAAGATGCAGACTATTCCATCACCACAAAGATCTCCCTTGTGCTACCCATTAAAGTCACACCTGTCCCCTCTCCTACCATCCCTGAACCCTGGAAAACACTAATTTGACTTTTGATGAAGGTACAAAGTTAATTAAATGGAAAAATAATTCCATTTTTAATAAATGGTGCTTGAATAACTGGACATCCATATGCAAAAAAGAAGGGACCCTGACCTCTTGTTTTATTCAAAAATTAACTTAAGATGGATCACAGATCTAAATGTAAACCATAAAACTTGAAGAAGAAAACACAAAAGAAGTCTTAGGAGAAAAATCTTTGTGTTAGGCAGAGTTCTAAGATACAACACAGAAAGCGCAACTCTTCAAGGAAAAATGAATAAACTCAGCTTCATCCAAATGAAAGACATTTACACTGCAAAACATGCTGTTAGGTGAATGAAAAGATAACCCACAAACTGAAAGAAAATATTTGCAAACCACATAACTGACAATGGGCTTATATCAAAAATATATAAAGAACGCTCAAAACTCAATAATAAGAAAACAAACAATACAATTAAAAGGCGGGGGACAAAATTATGAATTAATGCTTCACCAAAGAAGGCATACAGATGGAAAAGAAGTACGTGAAAAGAGGTTCCTTATTAGTTATTAGGGAACTGCAAATTAAAACCACAGTGAGATACAACAACACACCAGCTAGAATGTCTCAAAAAAATGTGTCCATACCATGAGTAGCAAGAATACGGAGCAGATAGAATTCTCATACGTTGCTGATGGGAATACAAAATGGTATAGACACTCTGCAAAACAGTTGAGCAGTTTCTTATAAAGTTACACATACACTTACCATATGGTCCAGCAAAAAAAGCAACTTTATTCTTAATTGCTAAAATTAGAAATAACTCAAATGTCCTTCCCTGGTGAATAGATACACTGGTACACCTATTATGTGGAATAATACTTAGTAGTAAAAAGAAAGAACTACTGACAACACAAATGAAGTCCAAATGTTTTAGGCTAAGTGAGAGAAGTCAGACTCAAAAGGCAGTCTCCGGAAAAGGCGAAACTATAGGGACAGAGAGCAGATCAGTGGCTACCAGGGGTTACAGTGGGGAGAAGAGCTGACTACAGAGGGCAGCATCAGGAGATGCTGAGGGGTGATGGAACCACTCTGCATCTCTGCTGTGGTGGTGGTTAAATAACACCATGCATTTTCAAAACACATACAACCGTACATCAGAGAGAGTGAATTTTATTGCACGTAAATGAAAAAAATGAAAGAGATGCAGCTTTACCATTAAACTTTTCCCCCCTCTTTTAATCTTTACAGGGTCAAAAGGGAAAAAAAGTTTTCAAATTCTATGTAAGACAGGAAAAAGCAGTATAATTTTGCTCATCAAACTCAGAGAACACGCTGAGCATGTAAACTTGGCCTTAAAATAGTTGTTCTGAGTTTTCTTAGATTCTTTATCTGTCTATTTGGCATCCTTTTATCACAAGGCCAATTACATTAACTGTATTATCTTATTTTCTGTATTCTTGATATTCTGGCATTGATGGCCTCACTGACTGGGGAGAAGCCAGTTAATTTTAAGAGATTTTTTAAAAAGGACTGGAGGGAGCACTTCTATTATATGAAAACCAAACAATCCCAACCCCATACTCTACAATACTTTCTCAACTAACTGTCACACAGCAAGACAACATTTCCCTTGCCCTAAATCAGTTGCCAGGTACCAGGCAACAAACCCCTTTGCCCTAGAGCCTGACAGAATTATTCCAACCAGCCAGTCCTAAGCTGGTTACCCTGCCCTGCCTTGCCTTACCTGTGGAAACCCCTATAAAGTCCTATGCCTTTCTTTCCCTCCTGCTTCTGCCTCCTGGCTAAAACTCAGTGCTTCCCCATAGCATGCAGTGACCCCCATCTCTGGAACCTGTGAGTATGAGGAACTTCTTCCTTCAAAGCCTCCTCCTCATTTCCTGCGGTGGAAGCACCGTCGCACCACTTCCAACATGGACATTCTTAGAACAGCTGTTACACATTTTCAGTATACATTTAAGGTCTTATCCATAGTTGCCTAAGCAACTTTGGGTGACTGAGAGCTTTTTAAAAAGTTCATTTTAGTTTAAAATTAAAAGTATGTGCACTACCACAAATAGAAGTAGTTAAAGACATAGTATCAAGACGAAGCAGACATTCACTCTCTCCTTAGTGTAGATGCACCGCATGAAAAGCAGGGCATATATCACATACGGATCTGTACACATATTATCACTCACAGAGGTGTGTTTCATACACAACCAGGAAAAGATGTATGACATTGGTCAGGTGCTCAGTTCAAAGGCCAAACCTTTTGAATTACAAGAAATAACTGCCTAGTCTTCATCTCTGAAGGAGAAGAAAGCTTGTGAGGATTATGGCAAGTTCATTAACTTCTGGTAAGTCAACATCTCTACTCCAATATTAATGTCACCCACCTCAGGAAAGCAATACAAAACTCACGGCTCACACTTCCCTTATACACTCAAATATCTTAAAGTAAGCATTTAAAAAATAATAAATAAATAAAATAAGCATTTAAAAAAGAATTGGGAAATTCATTTTGAGTCTGGTAAATACCCAAAGTATAGGGAGAAGTTTGATTATTAATATAAAATGGAACCAAAAGAGAGAAGAGTAGAAAAGAGAAAAAAATGAGAAAAATCCCTTGTTTGAGATGGTCAGTTTTCACTGAGATGAGCTAAATATTTTCTCAGAGCAATTTCAATTAAAGTGGTTTTTTTTTTGGTTGGTTTCAAAAAGACAATATGCGTAGGTAATAATAAATTCAAACAGAAAAAGAGTCTATCTAAACAGACTCTCATCCTTTGCCCCAGGCTTCCAGCTCTATATCCAGGAAGCAGCCACTTCATCCAGTCACTTGTATATTTTATATATCCTTCCTAAAGTGATCTATGCATATACAATCATATATATGCCCCTCCTATTTTGTTCAAAAGGAAACATACTATATATGCTATTTTCTTCTATATACCATAAATGGTCTAAAATATCATAAAATGGTCTGTGTGAACTCTATGACTTCTTAAATATACATATTCATATATGCATCTACACATGTATATGCATGTACCTAATGTTTGTGTATATAATTATAAATAAGTGTGCATATGTGAATATATGTGCATATACGTGCACTCTGCTGAAAGAGCCTAGCAGTAAAGACACCTGAGAACTAGTAGCACACCTAGCATCTAGATCTTGGTCTAATTCACCATTTAGAGGAACCAGGGCTCTTCAGAGAAATGGCTAACTACAGGGCTGTATGTATGAGATGAGCCTGGAACGTCATATTAGGTCAGAAAAAAAGGACCAAAAAATGGTGGGGGCATGTCACAAGGACACAGGAGGCAGCTTGAAGGGGTGCCTACTGGCCAAGTCTGGGACAATTTGAGCACCAAAACAATTAAGAACTGTAATGAATTATAAGCCATTGAAAAAAAAAAGAATCCATAATGATCATAGACAAATAAATAGGTGAGAAGGGAAAGTTCAAGCTTACAGGAGAATATCAGCTTTTGATTAGTAAATGTTGAGAGTGCTGAGGTTGGAAACTCATTTGCAACCAACATAACAAAGGTTGTATCAGGCAAGAATCATCAATGGATATTAAACACAGATAGAAGGTTTTTGACGAGCAGGGAATTTGTATGATCTTAAAGTGTCAAAGATTCTATATTAGTTGCAAGGAAAAACATTATAATACATTTAAGATATTGGACACCTTGACTAGGGGCTCAAAATTAGTATCACCAGTGAGGGCAGGATGAACACTGTGTGTCTCCACATGTGATGCCCTGAGAAAGACATGACATCAGTCAGGTAATTTTCCAACTAGGAATGTATAACCCAAATCAGATCCTGAGAAAACATCACACAAGCCCCGAATGATGTGCATTTTATTTTTTAAAAGACTGTGTTATTAAAAAATGCTAAGGTCATAAAAGACAAATACTGGAAATGTAGCAGATTAAAGGATACTAGAAACTAAATGCGCTATCTGATCCTAGTCTGCATCTTGTATATAAATACACACATAGTATACTTATTGCTTATATGTATAATACATATATTTCTATACATATATATTTACATAGATAAATACACATATTATATAATAGAAATAAACAGAGATGTTTACATCTATAGAGATGTATAATGTATAGAAAGAAGCAAAGAAAAATAATAAAGCAAATGGGAATAAAATGTTAACAATGGTGAATGAACATGGTAAAGGGCATGAAATGTTCCTTGGACTATACTTATTCTCGAAATTTTTCTATGAGTTGGAAATTATTTCTAATTAAACAAAAATAAAACCAAAAACGTATTAGAAACTTTTCTGGATCAGTATAGTTTTATCATATTTATTTTTTGTTTTTCATTTTTCAGTAGAGACATAATTTACATAAGTAAAATAGATTTTAAGAGTATAATTCAATTAGTTTTGACAAATGTATACACACACATAACAGCAACATGGAGAACGTTTCCTCAGAAAGTTCCCTGTGCCTCCTTCCAGTCTCCACTACCTCCACCCCTCACAGCAGCCACTGTTTTCATTTTCTCTCACAAAGATTAGTTTTGCCTCTTCTTGAACCTTATATAAAAATCAGAGAGTATATATTCTTTAGTGACTAGCTTCTTTCTTTCAAGAGAATATTTTTGAGATGTATCCATGTTGCTGTATATAACAGTACTTCACTTCTTTTTATTTAATGATAGTCTTTGTTTAATATTATGTTTAATGTTTAATGTTATTCTTTTACATGAATATACCACAATTTCTTTATTCATCTATTGTTGGATATTTCTTGTATGTCTTTTTGTGGACATGTGTTTTCATTTCTCTTGGGTGGGTAATAAGGCAGGTATACGTTTATAAGAAACTGCCCACTGTTTCCACCGTAGTTGTATTATATCTTACCACTTTTGATGGCTGCAAAGTATTTAATTGATTGGTAGACCACAATTTATTTAACCAGCTGCTTCTTGTTGGACATTAAGTTTTCCCCAATCATTTACTATTACAATTTGGTAATGAAAATCATTATATGTGTAGCTTTGTGCCCATGTGTGAGGTAACTGTATAGTAACTTTTATAGGTAGGTCGTAGAGTGTGTACATTTTAGTATTTGATAGACACTATCAATTAGCCCTTTGTATTGGTCATTACCAACTTCATTCCTATCAGCATAGTATGAAAATGACTGTTTGCCCCCACATTTCTGTCAGAGTTACAGGTAAAATTTTTAACCTTGTCATTTTAATTTGTTTTCCTTTTGCAAGTATCACAATGTTGGTGTTTATTTGTACTCTGTAGTTGCCTATATTTGCCATGCGCACATTTTAGATTCTTATTTTCCTTTACCCATACTTGACAGTTTCTCTTTCTTTTCCAATCTCTTTCTACAGTATTGGAGACCACCTTTTATATAACACCACTGCATTTATATTGCTCTAGTACCCCTTTACCCAAGTCGCTCCTCAACTCAAAAATCTGCACCGGATCCCCACTGCCTATTGAATAAAATCCAGAGTCTTCATCCTTACACCTAAGACCTATTCCATGTTTCCCACCTTTTCTTCCAAAAGATGATCCTGTATGTACTTCCAACAAGAATGGGGCTCCCCCATGGACCTCACGTAAAGTGCATACTTCTGCTTCCATGCCCTTGCACATACTGTTCCCTCTGCCCAGAATGCCCCCCTCCCTCTCTGTCTGAGGAGTCCCACCTTCCTTAGAAACCCAGTTCACACGCCGTCTTCTCTACATGCCCTAAGCAAATGCAGACAAGATGAAGGGTCATGCTTACCGGCACTTTCATTTTAAATTCATCTCGATAGAACTTAATGCCAATGTCAGTGAATGTTCTCTGGATAAAGCAAGATGGACGAAGAATGAATATGAGCTGCAAGTTTCCTGGAAATGCTACCTGGAAGGATCATAAAAAGTGTCAGGGCAAATGCCACAATCGTTAGTCTCCTCTTGCCCAAGATTACAGATGACAAAATTAAGGTGGACACCATGGATGGCAAAGAATGAGAACATATTTCACAGGATTTCAGAGCTGAAGGAGATTTTACTAGTTATATAATTCAAACCCCTCCTTAAAAACCAAACCAAATACATAATTTTCCTGATGATAAAAATAATTTATACTCCTTATAGAAAAATTGAGAAATTAATAAAAGTATACATTGGAAAAAGAAAATCACTCATAATTTCATACCTGTTCTTAATATTTCAGTCTAATTACTTGTAGGCTATTCCCTCTGCTTAAATATCTTTATCATAGTTAAACTCATACTGTAGAAATATTTTGGAAACTACCTTTTCACTTAATATTATACCATGAGCTTTTATTTCTGTTATTAAAAATTCTTTGGAAATAATTTTATGAGTGCACAATGTATTTAACCAATCCCTTATTGCTAGTGATTTAGGCTTCTCCATATTTTTATTACTATAAAATAGCACTTAAATTAAATCTTTATCCACCTTTTGGAACACTTCCTTAGGAAAACTTCCTAGAAGAACTACTGAGTTAAAGACTTAGTATTTTAAGAATTCTTAATGCATATTATTCCTAAGTTGCTTTCAGGAAGCATTGCTCTCATCTTGATTCAGAGAAGATTCTGAGAAATGAGATAACATAGATTGATATAACAACTTACTGGCAAAATTGGGAATCCAAATCTCCTATTGCTTATGGCTTTCCATTCTTCCAGTAGTTCCCAGGAACAACCTCCTGACGTGCTTGTTAAAAAATAATCTGGTCTTTACCCTGAAACATTCTGATTCATTGGGACTGGGATAAAGCCCAGATATCTGTACTTTAAACAAGCTCATGAAAAGATTCTGATGGCAGTCAGGCTTTTGGATCCCTGCACTACAACATCTTTTACGCATGTAGGGGATCGATGTAATTCTTGGGCAAATTAGGCTCAAGCATTAGATGAGTCAAGTATTGTCTATGAACCCTGGGAAACCAGAATTCTCTAGAGGCCAGACCTCTGGAATAGTCATGGGCACTGTCAGGACATCAACCATCATTGTAGTTATCCCCCAGATAAATACCATAACCAAAACTAAACCACAGGGACAAAACAATCCATGCACAAAGAGAAAGGAGTCTTCCTTTCCTTCATCTTTGAAATGCAAGCTCCTAAACAGAAGACCTTGCATTTTGTTATGTCATGACGGAACCAATGACCTGAGACACTATTTGTGTATTTGGATGAGGCTTCAAAGCGATCTGAGAGACACTCTGTAGGTGTCCATGTCCATATGTGTGAGTGCTTCTGTAAGTAGGCAGAACTGAGGTTTCAAATGTCCCTCTTCCATCCTAGCCTCTACATGACCACCCTACCCTATCCTTTCCCCTTCAGCCAGTGCAAATTGCTCCAGGGAGCCATTCTTTTGTGGATAGGCTGGTGTGGCTGGCCCTGAGGTGTCTCTGCCTGATCATGTGGCTGAGTTCCCTGGTCTCAGGTCCCTACAGAGAAAGGATGGATGTACTTGCTGAAAGGCAACAAATAGGGGTCAAAATCAGACTATAAGATGAAAAAGGAAATCCATCCAAGGTTGCACAATTTAATGCCAAAAGCAAGCACATACCATATCATTTTGTCTGGTTTTGCCAATGTCTTTCTAATATGTGAAAAAATAATTTGAATACCAAAATGAAGACTGTCTTAAATTGGGTGATGCCCAAAGCAAACCCAAAGATGAGGATTACTGAAGAGGTGATCCTAGGAAACACAGTTAGGGAGTAGGGGGATGCTGATGAGACAGTGATGGCTAGAGAGTCAATGTGTCAATGAAGGGGGACTGCTATAGGCAACAAGGGCTGGGACTCTTGGAGATACTGTGTGGAACATAGCTCAGAATTGTCCCGCTGAGAGGTGCAGAAGTGGGGGTATTTATCCACCAACTCCTATACTCAGTAGTTTCAGGTCACTCCTGAAGTGCTGATTTCCCAGCACCCTCTCCCTGCTCCTCTCCAGTGACCAGAGAGGTCAATAAGGTAGAGAGACTCAGGAAGCCTTTGTCATGCTCAGGAATCTTCCGCAAGTGACCTTTAGGTGGCAGAGGGGCTATGGATGTGACGCAACAGCCTCTGCTACAAAGACCTTAACAAAATTTGGCATACAATAACTGCCATGTCCCCGTGACTTTGATGTGAAATAGTTGAATAGACAATTTAAATTACCTTTATAATAATAGCACAAAAATAAATATTTACAGCTATTCGTGTCAAGGATGCTTTTATGGAGCTCCACTTGTCCCTTCGTCTGTCGATAACAATGATGAATCCAATGCTGGCAGCCTCCACACTGCAATAAAGGGTGGTCAGGGTCAGAGACGGTGAAATACATAGGTTCTGTGTGGCTCCCTAAGCAGAAAGATTCTACTGTCTCCATGTTACTCCAGGCTTGCAGTGTAAACACCATGCACAGTGTGAGGGGATAACCGGGCCTGACTTCCCTGACAAAGGAACCAGCTTCCTCTCCTCATCTTAGCCAGGCAGCCTCAACAAAGCAGAAATATTTGGTGTCTCAAACCTTTCAAGGGTTCTGCTTCTGGCTGGCAACTGTAGGAAACACCAGTCAAGCACTACATGTCCCATTGTAAGCAAGGGACCTCGAGGTTGAGCTCGGCCATCTTTCCACTCCCAAGACTGACTTTCAGGGAGCTAGCAACATCCTTCCCTAGGACTCAGTAGTAGAGGTGTTTGGAAAGGACACACATCAGTGGGGAAAAGCAACTCCCTCCCAGTATCTGACCATAAACCACCAGAAACCATAGGCATGAGAAGATATCACCTTCATTAAGAACAACTGAAAAAAGCTGTTTGGGCCCCCCCTTTTTTAATTGAAGTATAGTCAGTTTACAATGTTGTGTCAATTTCTGGTGTACAGCATAATGTCCCTGCTTAAGTTCCCACTAAATTGTCACAATTTTTCTTTAAACAAAAATCCTCAAAGGGAAAACATTTTTCCTCTCTCTCTTTGGGAGTAACTATGGGAGGAAAGAGCCAAAGCTTTGGAACCTGGTTCAAATCCTAGCACTGCCACTTATTAGCACTGAGACGTGAGGTGACTGCCTAACCTCTCTGACTCTGTCTCCTTATCTGTAAGATGAGAAAAATACCATCAATAGTGAAGTGGTTAAGAGCACAAATTCTGAATTCTAGCCAGACTGTCTAGGTTTGATACATGAATTCTAATATTTATATATTGTGTATTTTGTGGGGGGAAGTTACTTAACTTCTGTAGTTTCCCAGACTCCTCATTTGTATAGTAGGAACAATAACAGCACCAATCTGTAGGGATGATGTGAAGATTAAATGAGTATATATAGTATAGGGGTATAAAATGTTCAGAATAATGCCTGGCACTTGGTAATATTGTGTAAGCACTACTATTATGATGATTTCTTATGTGCTTATCATGAAGATTAAAAGAGATCAAGGTCATGAAAAGTAGCTGGCCTATAGTAAACCTTCAGTAAGTCTCTAATTTTGGATAAAAGGTGAGCTTTACCCTAAAAAGTGTCTGAATGCAAATAAGGCAGAAGATCTAAGCAAACTCTGCAAGAAAACGTAAGTAGCTGATCTGAAGTAAGCATTACTGGGCCAACCCATTATCACAGTCCAATACTAATCCAGGTTCTCTCACTGGGGACATTTTCCAGGCCCGGTGATAATGAAAGAAAGGGTGGTCTCACTGGTTAGAACAGGCAGAGAGCAGAGATTAATCCTGTGGCCAGGAATTGAGCAGAGTGGCTGTCAAGACAGGGAAGCCTCAGAGAGGGAACCCTGGGAGTTTTCATGGAAATTCCCCTTTAATGCTTAGCCAACTCCTGGACCTTCTAATTTTAGGTGAGACTCCAGGAGGCTGGCAGCGAACAGCAACTGTACATGTCAGAACTGATGAGAAGTTATGAAGCTTGCATAGTTCTGGGGAGAGACAACTGGTGTTTGGGTCCAGCCAGAATAGACAGACTTTGATGAACTCCCTGGGCATTCAGGTGAAACTCTAAAAAGGCCATCTTCTAGGATAAATGAAATGCCATATGAGTTTCTATAGAATTAAGGTTACATTCTAGGAGTAAGGACAAAACAGAAATAAACTTGCCCTAAGAAAAACTAAAATCAGCCTCCAAAAGATCAAGGAGATCCACCAGTATTTTAACTGCCTATCAGATTAAAACTCAAAACTTTTAGTAAGTAGGTAAGTCTCCACAACATAACATCTATAATATCCAGCATAAAATTAAAAATTAATAAAAATGCAAAAAAGCAGGAAAAAATAATAATTAATAGATAAGATAGTCAATAGATACAGACTCAAAGATGATCCTGGTTTTGGCAGACAAAAACTTCAAAATAACTATGATCAACATGTTAAAGAAAACAGAGAAAAGAGTAGACAAAATGGATTAAAAGAATGTTTTTGAATCTTTTTGAATATAATGTTATTTTAACAGAGAGTTAGAATCCATAGTAAATGAACCCTCTAGAATTACAAAACACCAATATCTGAAACTAGGAACTCTTTGAATTTGTTTAATAGCCAGTTGAACACAGCAGAAGACAGGATAAGTAGAATTGAAAACAGATCAATTAAAAACGGAAGCACGGGAGAAATGGAAAGAACAGAATGTAAAGGAGATGTGGGAGATGAACAGAAGTCTCAGAAGGAGAGGAGAGAGTATATTACAGAAACAATACTTTAAATAATAATGAAGAATTTTCCATATCTCATCAAAGACATCAACTCACAGATTCAAGCAGCTCTTCCAATACTACGCAGGATAAATATAAACTCACCTAGGCATATCAAAGCCAAATGGCTGAAAATTAAAGATAAGCAGAAAATATTAAAAGCAACCAGTTAAAAAAAGACACATTACCATCAGAAGAATAACATTAAAAATAATCACTGACTTTTCAATAGGAAATATGGAAGCTACAATCCAATGAAATATCTTCAGAGTAGTGACCTGAAAAGACTACTCATTTATAATTCTATACCCATTGAAAATATATTTTTAAAAATGAAGGTAGTGGGAAGAGAAACAGCTAAGTGGTAGATCCCACACTTAGCATGCATGAGTTCCTAGGTTCAATCCCCAGGACCTCCATAAAAATTGATTAATTAATTACTTAAATAAAATAAAAATGAAGGTGAAATAAGGACATTTCCAGACCACTAGAGCTGAGGGAATTTATTGCCAGTAAACATATACTCCAAGAAATATTAAAGGATGTTTTCCAGACTGAATGAAGTTGAAAGCATGAAGGTGCAAGGAAAATAAACAGCCTGAAAATGAGTTTTAGGAAGACTTTCATTTTTTTATCAAAAAAAGAGTCCTTAAATTTAAAACTTGTATTTGTTCTTAAAAACATTAGAGAACCTGAAGACAAAGACAGGTAAGTGAACAAATTCCAGAGAAAGTCAAGACCAGTATCCACACTGAGCAAATACTGGAGAACGTAAGAAGTGGTGGTCACCTATTCTAATAATAGGTAAATAAATATTCCTAAAAGTAAAAATCCCATATGGCAACCTGAAGCTACAAGAAGGAATGAAGGGCACTGTAAATATTAAATATGTGGATAAATATTATCAACTGTGTTTTCTATTTCACTAAAAGACCAGTGACTATTCAAAGCAATAATAATAATAAAGTATTAAACATTTTATATTATATATCCATATATATATATAAGGATACACACTTTAACACCAGAGAAACCATTGCTTAAAATCTAATAGAAGAGATAAAGTGGAATACTGAAAATATGTGAATAATTCAAAAACGGCAGGTACTAAAGACTGTATTGCATCCCCCCAAAATTCTTATACTGAAGCTCTATCAGTGTGACTGCAAATGGGGAAAGAGTCTGCAATCACCTCTGCAACAAGGTGATAAAGGTTAAATAAGGTCCTAAGGGTAGGGCTGTTGCCCTTATAAGAAGAGGAAGAGACACCAGAACTCTCTCTGCCATGTGAGAACATAGCAAGAATACAGCCATCTGCAGTCAGGAAGAAAGCCTTCACCAGAAATAGAATCAGCTGGAATCTTGATCTAAGACTTCTAGCCTCTAGGACCATGAGAAAATAAATTTCTGCTGCTTAAGTGGATGGTATTTTGTTATGGCAGTCAGAGCTGACTAATATGGCAGGAAAGGAGAAGTAAGGAAAAAGTTACAGATGGTACAAACAGCAAGATGGTAAATTTAAACCCAACCAATCTCAATAATCACATTAAGTGGAAATGGTCTATATGACTCCATTTAAAAGATAAATAGTGTCAAAGTGAAAATACTAATTATTAGAGATAGTGACTACACTTTAAACATAAAGGCAGAGATAGATTAAAAGAATGGCCATGTACGTAAGTACAGACACCAAGCTCACATTAATATTCCTTTAAGAGGTAGTCTTTTATAATATTCATAAAATGACCTATTTGAAGAATAAAGGGCTTTTGCTTTGGGGGTTAAAAAAAGAAGAAGAATGGTAAAAGATGTACCATGAAATCACTAATCATAATAAAGCCAGTGTGGCTATATTAATATTAGAAAAAGTAGGGTCAAATACAAGGAGTATTAGCAGAGATAAATGATTCATAAAAATAAGAGTCAGTTTATCAGGTAGATATAACAATCTTAAATGTGTATGTATGCAATAACATTGATTCAAAATATATTAATAAAAACTGACAGAACTAAAAGAAAAATAGATAAAACCACAATCAAAGTTAAAGATTTTAACACTTCTCTCTTAATAACTGATAGAACAAACAGCCAAAAAATCAGCAAGGATATAGACTTGACTTTGAAGAACTCAGCAGCCAAGAATTACACAACACACATTCTTTTCAAATGTGCATGGGACATTCATCAAAATATTCCATTATCCTAGGCCTTACAGCAAATTTCAACAAATTTTAAAGAACTGCAATCATACAGGGTATATTTTTGATCACCGTGGAATTAAATTGGAACTCTATTATTCTTCTGGTTTCTCTTTCATCTTCCTTAGTTCTTCCCTCTCATTCTTTCTTCCCTTCTTCCTTTTTTCTTTACAATTCCCTTCCTTCTCCTTCTTTTGGGTTTAATTGCCATTGTCTTTTTTTTTTTAACTTCTTAAGGCGTAAGATTAGATCATTGATTTTAAACCTTCCCTCTTGTCCATTATAAGTGTTTAAAGCTGTAATTCCCTCCTAAACACTGCTTTAGCTACATCACATAAATGTTAATATATTGTTTTCATTATTGTTCAGCTAAAAATATTTTCTAACTCCTTTTATGATTTCTTTCTTA